TAGACAAGTTTGGCCCTTCGACCATGACGCCTGAGGGACTCCAATCCCTCATAAACTACTATAACTTGCCCGGGGAGTATGCCTACTTCATCCCTTCGGGTAGTTTTCCTTGGGAACACGGTCCTGATGAGATTGTGATATTTCGAGAGCAGCTCGCTGCGGGGCTGCGACTGCCTTTCCATCCTCTCCTTGTCGAGGTTCTGAATCACTTCGGTGTGACGGTCGGCCAGCTCCACCCGAACTCTATTCGGAATTTAGTGGGGACGATCTCCCTATTCTGCGAAGAGAGCTTTCCCTTAGACTTGGAGGTTTTTTCTTCTATCTTGATGCTTAAAAAGCAAGCGAGTCCCCTCCCCGGGCGTAGGCGGGCATACTACCTGTCTCCTCGTCCGGGCTTCAAGCTTTTACACGAACTCCCTAACAAGGTCCCGGCGTGGAAGCGGGACTATTTCGGGGTGCGAAGTGTGTTGGGGTGGCCGTTTCAGACCGGCTGGGGGATGGCCGCTCCCAACTCCGGCGTCACACTTGACAAAGAGACGGTGAAGGGCCTCCGGCAATGGGCGCGGCTTGGGCTGAAGTGTCAACAGTATCTGATGGAGGCCAAGCTTATTGCGGCCGGCCTGAGTTCGGGTAGGTTCTTCCCTAGCGATTCTGTCTTGCTCTCCTTTTGCTTTTTTTTTACTGATGTCGAACTTCTTTTCGCAGGTGTGATGGACTCTCAAGGGACCCAAGGTGGGCACTTGTTCCAGGGCATGAAGAGGAGGAAGCGGGTTGCTAAGTGAACTCGCGCCGAGCTACCCCRGGGTGCGGAGCCCGAGGTGCCGGATTACCCGACGGAAGATCAGCCTAGGGAGCCCGAGATGGTTCCTCCTATGCAGCAACCGGCGGGGGCCCCTTATGCTGAGACTACTCACACAGGGGCTCCCACCTAATCCGGTGCTCCCGCTTACTCCGGGTCTGCCCACACGCGAGCTGGGGGGGCCCCGGGGGACTTTAGGAGTGTGCTGTCGCCTACTCACGCTCTTCAAAGGAGTAAGGAGGCCATTTTCCCTGAGGAAGTCGCGGCGTGGACCGATCTCCCTCTGCACCAAGTGGCCTGTCGTGCCGTTACCCATGCTATAGTGGTAAGTGATCTCCCTTTTTTAGAACTCTTCGGCTTTTATTATTCTATTGGTTCCTTTGATCACTTGTTTCTTTTTGGTATGTGAACTCTTCTATTCACGCTTTGGCGGCCCAGGTGGAGAGGAGCTCGAGGCAGGCGCGGGCTGCCGAAGAGGCTCTTCGTGCTGCTGAGACGACTACGCGAGCTACCGAAACATCTGCTCGTGCTACCGAGGAGGCTGCTCGTTTTGCGCGGTTTAGGCAGGCGAGGTCTCAGAGAGATGCTGAGGCCATGGGAGTGGTGGTAAAACATATGACGAACTTGAGGTTGGATCTGCAGCATCAGGTCGAGTATCTTCAGGAGGACATCAAGGAGAGGACGCAGATCTTCTGTCAAGGCATCGAAGATGCGAAGAAGAAAGCTGTCGATGATTATATTGCTTCGTCGGGCTTCGATGATCTGATGGTGGACTCCTACAGGAGGGGTTTTAAACTAAGCCGGTGGATGATCCGGAATACGTACCCCGAGCTTGATATCAGCGCTATATCCACTTCGCGCATCGTCGAAGTGCCTTCTGATAATGAGGAAGTAGCCCCGGGCTTGTAAAAAAGAAATGGCTTCTTTTTTTTTTTTTTTTTGAATGTACACTTAATTATTTGAAATGAAATGGCTTTTCTTTTGTTTAAGTGTTGGTTGTTTTGTCTCTGAGCTGTGTTTTTTTCCGAACTGACCATTTGTTCGGTCTTCCCTGCTAACTCGTTTTTTACCTCTGCTTCGCCTTTGCCTTGTTAGCTCGGTATGTTCGGGGTACTTGCCTTGGTGGTCTATAGGTAGTACCTTCTTAAGTTGACGATGTTCCATGTTCGGGGTACTTGCTTACCCTCTAAGGTTTCGAGCTCGTATGCCCCTCCGAGCGCTCTCTTTACTCTGTAGGGCCCTTCCCAATTTGGTCCAAGTTTGCCCACGCCGGGCTCGGGTATCATGATTTTACGAAGAACCAGGTCGCCAACACGGAAGCTTCGCTTTTTTACTCTGGCGTTGTAGTACCGAGCTACTTTTTGCTGGTAGGCTGCAGTTCGGATGTGCGCGAGGTCTCTTGCCTCATCTAGTAGGTTGAGGTTGGTGCGTAATTCGTCTCTGTTTGCCTGATCGTCATACGTCTCTAGTCGTAACG